TGATTTGTAATGCTGAATTAAAACACAGAATGAAGACCATTTACTCCTGGCTATCCAACAGAAGCATTCTCTGAAAGCATTCTTTTTCTTATTTGAAGTTAATGATGAAATCACAGCAATTGTTTTTAAATAATATTAAAATAGAAGGGTGCAAAAGCGAGCACTTCTCCAAAAATATATCAATTATGTTCTAAGGAGCTTAAAAACAATGAAAGTGTGAACAAATATAAATTTCATGATTTTACATCAGGATATTTTATATTAAGAGTACACTCAACCTTTGACTTAATTTTCCAATAATGTGTTTTGGACTATAATTGGACTACTATGAAAATATTGAGCACTGCCTTACATAGAAAAATTATCATCGAAATGATAGCTTGGCATTAAAACGATACAGTATATCAAACCCATAACATGTCTGCATCATAGCAAAGAGAGGTTATAATTGACCTCTGGCTTCAACTTTTAACAATTCACACCTCTGATATGTTCATTGAATCTCCTGAAATGGACCTAAGAAAAATATGTTTATACGGCACTGTATTATGGCAATCACTCAACAAACAGTTTGGAAGTCATTCATCCATCTTCTAACTCCTTTATCTAATACAGAGTCATGGGGGAGCATGAGCCGAACCCAGCAAGCAACGGGAGTAAGGCAGCGTACACCCTGAGCGGGACGCCACTCCTTCACAGAGCAAACGCACTCACACCAGGGCCAGTTTTCCTAATGTTTCCCGCCTTGCTGCCGCAGCTTGGTGCGTTGGGCTGTGGCACCCCCAGCTGAACTGGATGAAGTGGTTAAAAATTAATGAATGGGTGCTATCACTGTACAAGTATGCAAGACATCATTTAGAACACTGAGAAAAAATTTGGTCTCCACATTACAACTCTTTCTCTTTCTCATAATTCGATTCACTCCCAGGATTTAAAGGAATGCCCTTCTGTGACAGGCTAAAAGAAATGAATAATTTTATCAATTGAAGGAAAGAGGACCTAGTACAAATATTAAAATCAAATGTAAAAACTTACAAGGAAGTGCATTTCAAACTAACAGCAAGTTTTTACAAACAGGATTATAGAAGTATTGAACAAACTACAGTCATATTGTCAAAGATGACACTGAATTATTTCTGAAGTGTCTGGATGAGATCAGATCAGTTAGCTACAAGAAAACAAATTAGTTACTTTCACAAGGTGCCTTCTCTTGTTAGATATGTTAAAAAATTACGTTCTTACTAGAGACAATACAATATTACAAAATAATGGAAGAATGTCGATTTATTGACTTACAGTACATATAGGTCCTCTAAACTGTAATATGTCAAACTGCAGGACAAGCAAGATAACATAGAAGATTACTGCTATAACTTCAAATGCTGATAAACTCAAAGAACTCAAGTTTTGGACCAAATTATGTTATGGTTTTGAACCAAACGCACAATCACAAGAAAATATTTCTGTATGTTCAGCTTAAGACACAGAAATTCTTATTCTATTTCTAATGTACTGCTAACTGTAACATAAAAATATTTTTGTTTTTTAATGAAAGATTGAGCAAACACTATTTTTAAATATATAATGAAAGGCAAACAAAATGTATGCTTTAATTTTTATTGTGCTTTAAATAATCTACATACCCACACTGAAACAGATTTTGGTCAAAAGGTAACTCTACTGAATGCTCTATATTCTTAGTAAATGAATTGTTGATTGAGATAAACAATTAAAGAAAATATTACAATTACATTTCTCACTTGTACATTTTAGATACATGAGAAGAAGAGAAAATTAACTCAGCACAGAATCGATTCAATAACTCAACTAGTAATTTTAAATGACTGCTGTTCTTAATTATTTCACCTTAAATATGGTGATGTGAGTAATAATAATGGAGATGTGGTGCTTATGTTCTGAAAATCAAAAACTTTAAAAAGAACCGCTTTCATAAAATGAAGAACACATAATATATTGTAGAATGTATTAACATTATGTGTATGACTTGAAAATCCTTTGATCTAAGGACCAGGTTTCAAATTATTTCAAATTGTGAAACGAGAAGCTGAATGGACATTATTGGAGTTATTCTGAAAACTAACATTCTTACTCAGCTTTTGCATAGCTGAAACATTGTAAGAAAATCAGTTTGCAAAACAAAGTAATCAAGTGATAATTACCTTTAGCCTTAATTTTTAACAACATTTGTTACTAGACTGGCTGCTATTAATTATCAACTAATAGCGCATGGTACTTGCGTGTCTGGAAGCTATTGTTTTCCCTCATGAAAAAATGTCTCATCAGTATTCTGAAGAAAAAAAGCTTTGCGACTTCCAGTTTCTCTTTGGTTTGTAAAAATCAAATCATATATAGATAATCATGGAGATAAACCAGATCATTCAGATAGCTCTCTTTTTCACACACTTGAAAAGTTTAGCATACAGTATGTGAAGCTCATTGAATAAGGGTCATGGTGTTTGACTGAATCACACTGAAGCCAGGCACTCACCCCTAATTCTACGTACTACTCCAGAAACAGCCTTTTATCATAAATATTTTGTTTTCAAGCATCCCTCTGTGCTAACTGCTTGCTTAGAAGCAGGTGGATAAGGAGCAGCACAGAGGTGTCAAATGTTTTCTTTATTGATTGACAAGGCTGATAAGAACATAACCTCATTTCTGCTAGATACATGCCGATTTTAAGGAGAACAGGTGTAAGAGAACAGAGGGTGACAGGATCCTTCATTGATTATCTATACAGGGTATACTCTTGACCTGTCAAGGCATTCAGGACCCTCAGGAGTTGGTGTCATTATTAGCAGATGGAGGTCAAGATGACACAGACTTGTATACGATGACAGCACAGCTGGCTGGATGATGACAAAGCTGTCCAGCTGGCATACACCTGCAGATGACCTTTTTGCGTAAACCTTAGGAATTGCAGCCAGATGTTCCTGAGAAATCTGCTCTTTGGGGAGCCATTTGTTTTTTGCTTTTCTCTTTTAATTGAAAATCTTGTAAAGGTCACTTGTGTGCAATGTCCCTAACTAGGGAAGAATAGCTGATAGACATGTGATGTATTGTTTCAAACAAAATAAGAAAAGGCTTGTAAAAACATTTGATAGTGATACCATTGACATCTCTTTTTCCCAAGAGTCCATGGGATTTAAAAAAAAATTAAAACGCATATAAATAATACTATTTTAACAACCTACAGTTATTCAACAGCTCAAAAATAATAATTATCTAACCATACCCCACTGATGTAGGGTCCTAGGGAAACTATCTCAAGTATTGCTTTCCCTGCAGCACAGCAACGTTTTTTTAACATTATGTTAAAATGTTTGCTTCCTTATTTTTCAAAACAGGGTTTGTGCTATTGGTCCCAACCAGATCTGATCCCCTAGTGATTTAAAAAGACATCAACACAATCTCTTCCAGCTTTCTTTATTCCAGGCTAAACAGTTGCAGCTCTCAACCTGTCAGTCTTAGTCATATACTGTGGCCTTGAAGATGTTCTCTGGACCATCCAGAGCAATAAGATCCGTTTTTATTACTGGAAACAAAGTATTTTTGGCAAGCAGTTTTTATGTATGTAAATTTTGTTTGATGTCAGCACTACTTATAATTTATTCAAGAATTGTTAGTATTGCTTTAAATTCCCTAGCACTGACAATGGTAAATCCTGAACCAAACCCAAGATCTTTTAGCATGGCTTCAATTAATACATATCTTCTATTTTGCTTTGTATAATTTGGGAGGTAAAACAATATTTTGCATTTGGTATGATTCAATGCCATAATGCCAAGAAATTATGTAAAACATAAGGATTACTAAAAACCGTTGCAGTTAGTTTTAATTTCCTCTTTTACACTGATGTTGTTTGGCCACCAGAACACCAAAAATGAAATGATAATGCACAGAATTCTTTAATCATGACACGACAATTTAACAAATTTCTGATCTCTACTCACTTATGTAAGTCATTTAAGAAATTTATGTGGATCAGATGCTTTGAAAATATGGTGGTCCCCATGTGTAAAATTAGAAATTCCCTAATCCCACAGTCATTTAAACCACAGCTAACTTTTAATGGATAGGTGGCACGAATCATGTATAAATTTCACCTCTGGGATATCATATACTTCTAACAGAAAGACTCAGGTTTCAAGAATAAACTTTTAAATATGGTTTCAAAAATCTATGTAATTAGGATATTTTTTTCTGGCAAATTCTAAATCACATATTTTAAAGTTAATTTATATTTACGTATATCAAAGTCTGAATGCCGGATATAAAAATGAACCTTAATTTAATGGCAGTTAATGAAGTTATTCATCCACAGAAACCACAATGTGGAGAGTACAGCCCATTAAAATCAGGCACCCACCCTGGTATTTCCAAACCAGTTTAAAAAATCTAAGATCAAATATGCAGCTTGCCTCAGAATGTAATACTAACAACCTTTTTTACCTAGAAAAGCATAATCAGAAATCAGGGAAGAAATAACACATTGTACAATAATAAACGCTGTATTATTAAATGACCTAGAGCTTTAGGAAAAATCCAACTTCTGCAAGCTGAATGATTTCAGTTGTCTACTGTAGCCTTTGCCAACAACAGCTGTAAACCACAAGCACCATCAGAGCCACATGTGCTTTCAACTTTCCTCCCCTCTGTCTTTAGCTTGATGCCACACAGAGTAAAGGTCTCTTATATCTGTTTTTCTTTTCTCTGGACTTCAGTATGAATTAGAAATTTAACTTCAGCATGTTATTTTTAATTTGGTGAACAAAGGTCTTCAGTAGCCATTACCTTTCCTGCATCAGGAGTCTTCCTTATACAGTAGTGTTGCTTTCACTGAACAATTTCTCAGGACATCCTCGTTGCACTATGTAACTCGCTTAGTTACTAATGTAAAACAAAGAAATTTAAATTTGTAGCACTATAGTAGCTTACTCATATTATAGTGATGATAAAAACAAAATATTAGTTCATACCTGCTTAAGGCTGCCTGCCACTGACTTCATGTAACCAGCTAGGGAATCTTTACCCCTGAAAAAGAATTGGTGCCTTGATTAATATTTAATATAAGAGATTATATATATTTTTACCAAAAAATAAGTCAATAAATAATTTTGCCAAGCTTGAGATGTTACAGATTAAATAAGCATCATGCAAAGTATGAGATGTAGAGGAAAGCAAAGTATTCTTTTAATCAGTGGTTGCATTGGAGAACTCCATATAGAATGCAAAACATTTTTGAACTTTGAATTTGGAATAAATCAAAATAAGAATATATTTTTCTATTTTCCTATTACCAGTCCTTGGGGCACACCAAAATAATATTTTCTATAATCTCTTAGGAGGACAATTAAAGCTATATTCTTTTGAGGATAACATTTTTCCTTTAAAAGAAAGATTACCGGATTTTGCTCAGGTTTTTAACTAGGATTTCATTCTTTTAACCTTGTTATAACAGATGGCAATTTAAGTACAAGAGAACATTTTTGTTTTCTCTTTCTGAAGCTCCATTTTCTAATGTTGCTGTCATAAATCACAGCAGAACTACTAATAATGAGGAACAAAATAAGGTGATGAATCTGCATTTAAATTAATCACATTTAATATACTGCTCAGACAAGTTGACAAAGTGCTAAAAAGCAATAAAAACTGATAATGTTGTTAAACAAGTATTGTACCCAGTTAAATTGGTATTTTATCAGCATTTTATTAGTTTTTCTAAAAGATATGTAACAAACTTTTCTCATTTTAGACTTGCATCTCATAATTACCAATAAATATTTGCATACATTACAAATGTTCAAAAAAATGATCAAAAGCTGCAATTTAAGTGGGCTAAAACTGTAACGATGAAACGAAAACAACACTATTTACTGAAAATATCTATTTACATGTAAATAGTTTGGGGGAGGTCATTAAAATGTGAACTGAAGAGATTTAACTTCATTACCAAATAAAGAGAGTAAAACAAAGTGTACTGAAACACACTGCAGCTCCTACTGTAGTCCTGTTTAATAATATGGCATCCCGTGTACAAACCCCATAAACTAACCCCTTCTTGATTCATAATAGGGTATTCTTTAATCTGTGTCGCATCACAATGTTATACCATACATCACTAAAGTACAGAAATGCGTGTGTGTGCTTGGATATTTCATAGACAGTTTCTGGGTTTTCTGAACTGTTCCTTATTATCCCGGGCTGAGAAAAGCTGTGCACACAGATAGAGAGAATTGATCTTGTGTCTGGTGGTGGAAATGTGTTCCCCTGGGCTCAGCTGCTCACTTGGCTGCCATGCGGAGGGCGCTCTCTGCATCGCGGACGCTCTCCTCCAGCTGCCGCTTGTCCTGTTCCAGCTGGGAGAGATGCTTTCCGAGCTGACGCAAGGATTGATCTTTTCTCCTGAGCTCCATTTTTGCTTCCGAGAGACTCTAGGAGAGAAAATGCAAGAGAATACAAAACAAAACAGCTCGATGACCTACAGTATATGTGGTAAGACAATATGAAATGCACAAAAACAACATTTGTTCTTTATCATTGTTACAAATTAACAGTAAAAATGGAAATGTATCTATTCTATACAAAGGTAATGACTGTTGTTAAAAGTTAAATAAGTTATTGAGTCGGTGTTTTGTTCAGAGTTAACTACTGTATTCCTCTTAAATGACAGAACACAATCTTTCAGGTAATTTCTAAGAAAACACACAGAAAGCCATCAGACGATACCAGGTTTTAAACCAGGAATGTCATTAGACTTTTAACCTTAATAAATCACTGGACTACCCATCCTCCTCCCCTACTAGCAAGGTAAGAATAATTTGATTAATTCGAATTATAATCTTAAACTCATACTTTTTTATAGACATGAGACACAGTTTTAATCCTCAATCCGATGTTTTGGACTGATATTTTAGAATTCATGAAAACAAATCTATTTATAGTTATATTTAATCAGAATAACACTCGGCTGTTTTCATTTTTATTAACACTGTTATCAAAAGAAGCATAAATGGGGGAAAAATGCCGCTGTCATCTATATCCACTCCCTAAAACATATTGAAACACTTGAAACCAGAGAGAACTAAAATCTTGATAAGACCAGAAAAGGGTTCACTTGAGAGCAAAATTCATGCCCAGTAGTGAAGCAGTAAAAAATATTCTACACAGTTTGTGGTAAAGAAATATATCTCACACAATAGGGAAATACAATAAGGAAAGAAGAAATCTGGCATTATGAATCAAAGAACCCAGTAAATAAAAACCATTCAAAAGCTCTTCTAAAGAAATTTTGTGATAATATCCAATGTCACAAATATTCCTTAGGTTGTAAAAACTGAATTACAGAAAACAAAGTTGAAACAGTTTGCTGCTTATAAAATTAAAAAGCATATGTCAGTGTTCCTGATTAACTACAAAAACAAAACCTCCACAGTATAGATGCAGCACCTCTGACACCTTCAAGTGATCAAACCTGTTTGCTTTACTACAGTGTAAGAGGTAAAACAAACGCTTACATTCCCACAGAGATTTGTTAAGGTGTAAAAAATTTATGGTGCAAAGAGAGAGGAAGAAAAAAAAAACTTCCCATAGTCAAGATATGCTGTCCATGAGATTTCACATGACTCCAGTACGCTCAGAGATTTCATATTCACAAAATCCACTTCTACAACTTGTCAAGGCAGGCTTATGAAGTTCAACAAAAGTTACAAAGGGAAAAGGGGCTTTGACTACAGCCAATAACATTAGTTGCGTGCAGTTTTCTTACAATGCCCCATTGCTTCGGTGCTTTTGATTTTACATTGAACAAAACTTCTAAAAATGTCAAATTGCCATGGTGGACAATTTGATTGGTCGATATTGTCAATTAAATATTTAAAGTTACTCATGTAATACTTTTACTTACAAATTCAAAAATTCATTATAACCATTTGTTTGGTGCTGGCCATCTTCACAAAACTGATTAAAACCTCAAATCAGTATTATCATTGCAGTATATTTGCAAGTACACAACATCTCCTAAACAATTAACCGTTCTCAATCAAATCCCCAAGATCTCTTTCCATGGTTAAAGTCAACGTAGTCCTAAAGGTACCTTAAGCAAACAGGATGGTTTTACAAGAGATCCCAATAAATAGACATGTGCTGACAGATGCTGAAGAAAAGCCTTGTTCTGAACTTTGATTCAACGGAAATGGCTGTAGCTAGCTTTTTTCCTACAACTGTGAGTGACAAAGACAGACAACAGCTTTAAGGACACATCCCTGCTGCACTGAATGCAAGCTCTTTTCTTGAAAGCTAGTTACAATACTTATAACTTATTAAATTGAAAAACTTTTTAAGGATGTTGAAAATCAATGAAACAATTACAGGCAAAATGCAGCTGTAGCAGCATTGTGATGATGTACAAGTGGATATAAAAAGTCTACACACCCTTACTGCAGTTGCAGTTACACTCAATCAATCATGTGGGAAAATGTCTTATGGTCTGATGAGACAAAGGTTGAAGTTTTTGGCCTTAATTCTTAAAGATATCTTTGGCGCAAAGACAACACAGCTCATCATGCAAAGAACACCACACCTACTGTGAAGCATGGTGGTGGCAGCATCATGCTTTGGGGCTGCTTCTATCCAGCTGGGACAGGGTCTCTAGTCAAGACAGATGGGATAATGACTAGCTCCAAATATCAAGATATTTGGGCACAAAACCTGCTGGCCTCTATCAAAAACCAGAAGATGAAGAGGAATTTCACCTTCCGACATGACAACGACCCAAAGCACACATCCAAGTCAACTGAGGAATGGCTTCAGAAAAGGAAGATCAAAGTCTTGGAATGGCCAAGTCAGAGCCCAGACCTCAATCCCATAAAAAAACCTGTGGAATGACCTAAAGAGGGCTGTGCACAGGAGATCCCCTGGCAATTTAAAGGAGCTTTAATTTTGTTTGCAAGGAAGAGTGGGATAAAAGTCTAGGTGTGCAAAGTTGATAGAGACTTATTCAAACAGAGTTACTGCTGTAATAAAGGCAATAAAGGTGCTTCCACAAAGTATTACTGTAGTTGGGTGGGGGGAATGTGCACACTTATGCAACCAGGGTGTAGTAGGTTTTTTAATTTAAATTATTTTTCCTAATATTTATCTATTTGTTTTTCTCTTGAATTGTGTTGGTTGCAAGGTCACATTAAAGATGGAAAAATGTCTTGATTTATCTTGACATGATTTATCTTGATTTCTGGCATTACATGACAAAAAACTGCAAATTCAATAAGGGTGTGTAGACTTTTTATATCCACTGTATAGTGCCATGTTTTTTCTAATGATGCAATTTGACCTTTAAAAGTAAAATGCCTACAAATTTTAAAAATTAAAATAAATAATAATAATAATGTCAGTTCTTTTATCACATATTTCAAATAAATAATTATCTACGTTACAATTCTAAATAACACAGAAGAATATGTTTATCAGGACTATAAATACATTTATCATTACTGTGAGGTATTAGTGCAGTGGTTTTTCATTCTCTATAAAATGCTTTACTGCTTTACTATTCAGGTGGCACTATACGTAGTACTAGTCTTTTTCCAGACATATTTGCAAGCTGCATTTAAGGGGATACTGTGATACCCAGGTGGGTTATGGACTCTCAAGCACCAGACTCACAGGCTCAGAGCCTCATACTTCTGACATCTCTGTTTGTACCATATCATCCGTTGCACTGGTTTTCAGAGACAGTCTCTCGTTCATGCCTCAGTCTTTTCTATGACCTCCTCCAACATGATCATCTGTAAGGTTCACTCATATCACTGAGTCCTCAGTCTCTCTAACTCAATGTTGTGCACACCTCAGGCTTTCGCTTCTTCTAGTTTAACCCTTCTTGGGAGTAAAAAAAAGACCCTCGACTAGGTCGATCCTATTTGGCCAGACCTGCTCAACTGCCCTCTTTACCATACTTGTGGGCTGACATGGAAAAGAACAAGGCTGTTACTCATTGTGAGTCTTCCCTGTACCTGGATGTTTCATGTTTTCTCTAAGGGTCTTCACTGCTCCTAGCCTCCTCAATTATTGTCCAGTCTAGGTCTCACTTGCACTCTATCGGATAGAGCCTCCTACTCCTTCCCTCACTCTCAGGCCACTCCTGATCCTCGCTCATTCTCTCTCCATCTTGGCTTAGTCACACATGTGGAGCATCCTGCTCCCCACTGTCTCTCATAGCTTCTCACTCATACCCAAGTCCACACACTTTCTTATGGACTTTCACTTCTCGGGTGTCTGCTCAACTATTCCTGGCTTCCTCACTCTCTGCCAGTCAGTACTTAAACATCTTGTCCCCTCCAGTACTTTCATTGTTCACACCTCCCCTTCCAGGAAGGTGGAAGGATCTTTCACCGTCTCACACACAGTCCCGTTCATTCTTCTCCTGCAACATGCTGTCTCTCTAAATATAATGGATTTGTGTAGATCCACAATCTCCTCCAAAATTGCTATTTTCACCAGTCCCTTATGGGGGTAGTTACACAACAGCTAATTTTCGCATTATGCTTCCAATTCAATCCAGAATCGTTGCTGTCATCAGTTCCCTCACAGGGTTTCACACTCAGCCTACATCATTCGTTTTCCTTTTACCTTCTCTACCTCTAACATAGTAGGTATCATTCTGTTTAACAGCTAAAGCAGTTACTTAATACTAAACAGTTACTAAACTGTTACTTACATTTCAACTCGCAGATATAAATCAGATGTGTCTTTTATATCCATCTCTCTAGGCTCATTTACAGACCATATTCTGCTCTCTCGCTATATACCAGAACAACTTATTGTTTTCTCTTTCTGCATCAGTACGGTGACTCTCACTCCCACAACTCAGCATGAGAAACCAGCTGGCTGCATTTACACGCTGGCTTCACAAACGCTCTGGCTCGGCTGGCTCTTCCACTTCAACCCTGCTACTGCCTGATATGTGGGAGACTCTCAATCATATTACCTCTCTCAATTGAGGTTAGCTCGGGACTCACAGCCTGTTATGTTCTCCTAGCAGGGAAACCTCTAACCCCCACAGCTCTCTTACTTCTGAACATAGACTGCCTTCAGCTTGGTCACATGCTGTAGCAATACAGTGTCAGTATTGAGAAGCTTCTCCCATCAGGAATCCCACACCTTGGAAGGCATTATATTAGATATAATGCAAAAAGCTATGAAGCCCATTGCAATATTATATTGACTGATGTGGTATTGTCAGTAAGAATCATGTGAGCTGTAATGATAATTACATTCCTGTGAAGGACAGCACAGAGACAGTGGGATTTCTCACTTTTATTCATGATTACCTCTTTACTCCAGAACTATACTCTATGATGAAAGCACGGTGGTTTAGTGTTGACAATATTTGTCTTGAGATCTTCTGGAGTGAAAGGAACACTTTTCTTCAGTTCTT